TTTTGCAGTAGTGAAACTTTATATTGGTCAGCCACCCTACATTATCACATTAGTACGCTGAATTATATATATATATATATATATATATATATATACAATGCATAAAATTTTATTAATAGTAATATTAAACATAATTTTTTATAAACTTCTTCAGAACATAAAAAGATATAATTACACGATAGAGTGTTCTATTTTGCTATAGTCCATTCATTGCTTGAATTATGGTCTTTGTTTGTGTATCTAATCATATGTTTCTGTAATGCTGACCAGTCGAATCTATTCTCCTAGTAATTCATTATGATCAATTACACCGTTATCTCACCGTATCATAGAACGGAGGAGCTGTGACGTGTGATGGTAAATCACAATGCGGTATGTACGGCATAATACGCGTGTGATATTGGCAAGTCACAAATACCATTTGATATGAAAGAAGATCGTAAATCGATCAGTGATCATAGGAAGACAATTATTGATGACGACTTATTGCTGCCGCATCGTGAAAATCAGCAATGTGTCAATCAAGTTTTTCACATAATTAAAACTTTAATTTTTTTATCAAATTCTATACATATAAATACAGACTTTACATGCGCGCGCGATTCTAAAAGAAATTTTTATCTCAAAGAAAAAGAAATTTGATATAATAACTACTCTTTTCAATTTTTATTTTTATTATTTTATTCAATATTATGTTATAATTCTTCTTGAACAATAAGAGATGATATTTTTATCTATTTTTATTCGATCACATATATAAATAATACGAAAGCGCGAATAAAAATTCCTTTCTACAAGGCACATTGATATATTTTTAATTAGTTGTATTAGCATTAGAATTGATTATCAAATCGATTTCGAATATTCATATTGATTATAATGTACGTAAACACAATTCATTTAATTAAATATTGCAATTTTTCTTTCTTTCTCTGTAAAAGAGAAAAGAAAGAGAGAACTCTCCCTTTTTCTTTCTCTGTACGAATAGGAAGAACAACGTGCAGCCAATAATTGTTGCATATCAGGGGGAAAAAAGTGTTTTAAAATTAAAAACAGTAGTAGAGAGAATTTTAAATTAAAAATATCAATGAGAGAAATATTTGAACCACATTTTAATTGTGTAGCAACTAAAATAAAAACTAATAATACTTTTAAAATTCCATTATAATTCCGTTATAATGAAATTGAACGAATTTGAATAAATTTGAGATTTTTTCTAAAAGTACTCACAATATTTAATTAAATGTTTGTATATCGTTATAATCTTTTTCGTCTATTTTTTTATATATCAGTAGCTTTTTTTAAATATATATCGAGAACAAATACACAATGCTGAATAGTTATTATAGATTTCTCGTTTCAGTTATTTGTTTTGAAAATCAATAATTATTCGTATGTTATCAGAGTTGTTCATTTTCAATAATTATTTTATTACTGCTGTTACTTGTTAGTCACGCGAAAGCTTAGCTAAAATTGCTCGTTAATCTTCGTTAATAATTAGCACATGCACACGGGTCGGCTCTATATCGACGTATAAAATGACCGCGATGCTGAAATTTGCCTGACCCTTCTCCTGTTAAATCTTTCACACTCTTACAGCTTCACACTTCGCGTACTTCGTCGCTCTATTCGAGATTCATGTATTATTCAAAAGAGAGTTAAAAGTGGCCTTACAACCTCCATTAAGTTGGCTTTAAATTAATTTTATATCTCATTTTCCGTCTTTCCCCAACGTTGAAGATTTTAATGCTCTCTCAGGGCTCACATATAAGAAAAGATACGCCATATTAAGTAATTATTTATAAAAGTCACCGAGTGTTTAATACCACTCTCTCTCTCTCTCTTCTCTTAACTTACACCTTTTAAGAAACGAATTTATTTTTAGAAAAGATTTTTTCTTCACAATGGGGAAATTTACGATAAATATATTTTCGTCAGATTCTCTCTCGCGAGAAATAATATATCTCTCATCTCAACGAGGATTTTACTTTTAGCTACGCGTACAGCTAATTTTTCATCTCTATTTTCATACGCGCATTCGCGCAGCTTATTTGGATTAAATCTTATGTTTGAATTTTCAAGCTTTTTTCCCATGCATATGTATGTATATATACATACCGAGCTTTTGCAAGCAAACGTAAAACCTCAAACAATATATATGAATAAAATATGTGCACAATTTCTAGCCATTCTCTTTTTTTGTAAATTCAGTCGGCAAAATTAATAATATTATAAAATGACGAGAAGTTAAAAGTATTGATAAAGCGTACAATTCCGTTAGATAATGAATTTGTAAAAAGATCTCGATGAAAATCAACGTACTCTCTACTTTTACTTCTTTCTAGGTGTGTTATTTGTTGACACAACTTAATTAATGCGTGTCAAATGCATTCTTTGCTATCGCAGTTAACCCCGGGTTGGAATTTTCATATGCAGCTCGTAAATATTAAATCTGGTCGACATTTCCTCTAATTAAATCTCTCACGTTTTCGTCGTAATGCAGCGACTGGCCCGATTTTCGAGAGAGAGAGAGAGAGAGAGAGAAAAAGAAAGAGAGCTTCATGAAGTTACTTTATTGCATTTCAAGAAGCCTATTTGAATTTAAATTTAAATCCAGATCGCACCCGCGCATGCGCCAGATTTTCAACTCTTCGAATATACGAGACGACCGGCGTAATAATACCGGAAACATCTTTTTCTCGTCGTACTCGTATTTCCGCTCGCTTCTCGTACAGAGATAATATTTACTCGCAGGAGAACGCGATGGATTTTCTCTCGTGTGCGAGTTTGTTTCTGCGTGCAATTATCAGAATTATTCAAACAATTTTTCTCGGTCTCGCTTTTCTATATTCTACATTAACCCCTTCCAACATTGATTATATCGTATCGCTGCTTTGTCAAATATTTAATTTCGCGTATCTCGTATGGAAAAAAGATTGAAATGTCTGATAAATGATGAACTAAATATTTGAATTTCATTAAAGAATTTTCTCCCGTCTTTAAAACGATACCGAATGAGAACGAGGAAAATTAGAGACAAGGAAAATTATATTTACCGTGATTATATTTATTTTGTCGATGAAAAAAAATAGTAAAAAATCTCTAAATTTAATATACCTTTCTCGCACGAAATTTATAAAATTTTTAAATTAATTTTTTAATAAATAATATGTCAAGGTATCTATAGAAAAAGGATACATTAATCGAAAGATTTGTCAAAAAATTATCGAAAGGCTGTAAATCATTTATTTGAGAATTTTATTGGAAATTTTTCTCACTTCCCCTATCAATCTTGTCATCATCGGAGATCATTGTCGACTTATAAAATCAATACTAAATTAAATAATTATCGTCATTTGCGCACCTGCGTCTTCTAGGTCTAATGGTGCGTGAGAAACACGCGGTGTGGCATGCGAAACGCATCCCTCCTTCTCCAGGGAGTGTTTGGCGTAATAGTCTATCGAAGAGTAGTCTATTTAGTCGGTAATCAACATCGAACGCGAGTGTACTCCGCCATCAGGTCCGCGAACATACTCGGAATGCCATCGTAAATACCAATTAAAGCTGTCCATATTCAGCTACGAAGATGCACGACCCGTTAACGCCCGAAAACTCCTCGATCGAATATAATGACATGACATTTTCACGCGAAATTCATACGGGTTGTTTTAGTTTTGACGGATAACGCGAACATTTGTCTAGCCGAAATGTCATTGCCCGCTCTCCATCGCGTTGTAACTTGCAGGCATTTTTTTTTTTTTTCATGGCTCTTGCGTGTAAATATATTTTTATTTAATTGCTTTATTTGTGTGACAACGTAATAATATAAATATATATATAGTCGTTCAAGAAGAGACGACCAAAAGTACATAATTTATTAAATATGTCAAAAGTCAATCTAAAATTTTTTTTTAATTACAGAGATTTTATTCGCCGAATTCTCGCCAAGAAATGTACTTTATTAATCTCTAATTTTTAAGAGAAATTTTATTTATTTAAAATTTATATCACATCATTAAATTATAATAAAATAAATGAATAGATTTATATGAAATTATCGAGTTATTATGATCACAAAGTGCAGCTACTTATGAAAAGGAGACTATAAAATGGTCTTTTAATTCATCTATACTTATTTTCAGCCGTTCAAGTACTTAAGGAAAGACGATTAAAAGTAATGTATTAAATACGTCAAATTTATTAAAATTTATTAAATGTATCAAAAGTTAATCTGAAAACCTTTTCTTTTTTTTTTTAATTACAGAGATTTAAATTACAGAGATTTTACTCGCCGAATTCTCTCCAAGAAATGTACATTATTAATCTATAATTCTCCAAGAGAAAATTTAATAAACATTTTTTTATTTAAAATTTACGTTACATCACGAAATTATAATAAAGTAAATGAATAGATTTATATGCAATTATCGAGTTATTATGAGATCACAATAAGATTATTTTTGATTTATCTATACTTATCTTGAATATAAATATAGAAGAATAAGTAAGTATAGAGAACAAAATAAATATAGAGAAATTTAAAAATAATTTTACAGTCTTATTTTCATCCCTAATTTTTATTTTGACATCAGAGCCTCTTTGATTTATCTTTAATCAAGCCTGTATCTCATGTCTCAGCGAAACGAGCGAGGGGAATCAAAATTGCCCTAATCTCCCCGAGCTCAGACAGAAGCAGTCACCCTCACGGGTGACTCTTTTATCCGAAAGAAAGGGAAGGAAAAAATTTACATCTCCGCGGCCTGTAAAAATTCTTACGACAGAGCCGCGAACGCCTTATCGTTACGCGCGTCGACCTTGTCGCCGACCATATCGGTGAAGCCAGAGCAACGGAAGAGCTTCGTGAAAAGGACCGCGGGTGCAACAAAATGGGGCGGGAAAACCTTAGACGAGAATGGAGACGGTGGAAGAGAATCGCGAAACAAGGCCTCTGTAAGGGATGCGAATGAAAGAGCGGTAGCTCCTTTTTATGATTCCCGTAGGAGCAGCCGTATGTGATGCTGAGAAGCGGAGGAAATTTTAGCGGAAATGCGCGCTACGAGGGCTTCTGCATCGACCTGCTGGAGAAGATAGCGGAGATGGTGGGCTTCGCTTACAAGATCGAGCTCGTGCCGGACGGCAAGTATGGCGTTTACGATTACGAGACCGGCGAATGGAACGGAATAGTGCGCCAGCTGATGGACAAGGTGAGTAAATGTGCGCGGCTGAACCTAGATGTAGATCCATGTGGATTCGGATTAGCGAGAGTAGATATGAGATATTTTGTACAAACCTGTAGCTCGATTGGTTTTTCTCGAGTTTTATGACAATTAATCACAAATATCGTACACTGAAAAAAATACATGTACTTTTTTACATGGAAATTACATGCCAAAACTGGAAAAGTTACTTGCTTATTAATGTAATTTTTTCCATTTGTTTCAAAGTGAAAATATTACCCTGAATTTAATTACCCTGAAAATCATCACGTAATCGTGGGACAATATGGTATTGGAAGAAATTTGATAAAAATTTTTCTGATTAATATTTACCACGATGAAAAAATTAATATCTACCACAATAAGATATAGAATATGTTCGATTAATTTTACTATGCGCATAGTAATATTTTTATTGTGGTAAATATTAATCCGAGAAACTCTTATAAAATTCTTCCAGTACCATATTGTCTCACGATTACCATAATTTTATTTAGGGTGAATTCTAAGAGAAAATTCTCTCCATGTACGTATTAATGTAAAAATATATGTAAAATATAGATAAAATGTAATTTTAAATTTACTATCCACTGAACATGAAATATTTTTAATCTAGAAAATATATAAAAATATATTTCATAAAAAATTACATATAATCTGTAATCTTCCATATAAGTAGCGATATTGCATGATTATGCTGGGTCGGAAAAACCTAGCATAATCACATAATTTTACGAAAATATTTTTTCAGTATAGATATACCCTATGCTTAAAAAAAAGATCGATAATTCAATGCTTCAATATAATTTTTTTTGTTCCTGCGGACTTTTACGGTCTTCTTAATTTTCTATTATATTAATGAGTGTGTACGAAGGATGAATCTCGCGATGAACTTTCGAGATGGGAAGATGACATTACCCGATAGGACGGTGTAATTTAGCCTGAATTTAACGGAAGCAGTGTATAACACAATCTAGTGTGCTAGAGATTGTTAACTGTCAAATCCCATCGCGGATAATTAGTTTCAATAGACTCAGCAAAGGGTGGTTAATCGAATTTTGCTACATTTAATCATTCATTTCATCAATATATATTTCCTACAAATTATTTATTCGAAGAATCGTCACATTGATGGCAGACACAAGATGCGGAATGTCATTTCCCAGACATATCCGTGTTAGAAAGACGTTAATCCCGTAAATTGACACGACCATAGCTGCGGTGTCAAACGACAGAGTGGAATGTAATCGCGATATCGGGAGTCATCGGTGGCCATTTTGCCGCCGCATTCCGATTGGCAACTAGCGAATCCGTGCACTTGGCGTATACATGAACGTGTATACGGCTTAGAGAGATACGACGGGACACCCTGGATAACGTGGCGTCTCGCTTTTGCAATTCAAATCACGGACATCGAGAGATCGACGGCGAGACGCCGTGTGTATATGAGCACGCGTTTCTCTACCAGGAAGGCGTGAAACTAGCCCGCGGATATTGCTACGTCTACATTTCAAGTAGGCGATTGATTAAGTACGAATACGCCCGTTCCGGCGAGTTTCAATATCTCGCTGACATTCCTAGCAGATGCGACGACGACGACCGCCAGCCTCGATAACCACGTCAACGTGTCGGCCCGTATCTGCCGCAAAGTATATCATCAGAGACGAAGATAGGATACCGCTGTGCAGATAGTTCGGAATTAGAGATAACGCGCTCGCGTATCGATTTCAACGTCAATCCGCGTCTCCGTCGATGCATAATTTTTCACCCCTTTCACCAATGTACGAGCATCCGGGTACCAAGTGCGTGTTTTCGATACGTTGCACTGCGATATTTTTTTTTATAGCAGCTGAATATCGAATGTTTTTCTCGTTATATTTTTCAAACATTTTGGAACACAAATAAGATTTTTTTTATTTATGTATTTCTTTTGAATGTATGTATTTTTTATATTATTTGGGTGATAGATGTCAACCATGCGATCTCTAATTTTATTTTACATCTTATTTGACAGAATGATTCTAAGATTAAATGTTAAAAAATATATGTATAAATAATACATTGTAATATTTTAACTTGTCAAAAATATATTAATTTTAATATAATTACATTAAATGCATTTTATTTAATATAATACATTATATTATATTCCTGTAATTATATTAAATTTAATATATTTAAATTATAATATTATAATATATGTATTTATATATATTTTTTGACATTTAACCCTAGAATCACTCTGTTAAATAAGATGTAAAAAAAAATTAGAGATCGCATAGTTGACATCCATCACCCACTTTTAAAAGACACAATTAAAATATTCAAAGACATATTATTTGAAAAACATTAAAATAATTAAAAAACAAATGTTACGAGTATATTTATATATAATACATATCTTATACATATAAATAGACGTATTAGCTATTAAACTTAAATTAAAATTAAATTAAAAACGTATGTGAATTAAAACTGCAGATTTGTACACGTGGGTAACTAATGTCATCCGCGCAGCCACTGTTAAAATTGCTTTGGATACCCGGATGCCTGTTCATTGATAGAAGGGTTAATGCATACATGTAGCATCCTATTGTAAAATGCATGTCCGTATTACACGACTTCAATCCACGGTATCTAACGAAATCGAACCAGTAAAAACCTTATGTGTATTTGCACCAGCTGGTTTTATCCCAAATTAACCATTAAATTCGAATTCTAATCGAGAGAGATCTCTTTCTCTCTGCCGATGCACTCCGTGCGAAATGCACACGCGAATGTATTTCTGCGCTTCGTAGACGAGATTTTTTTCCTCGCAAGTGAGAGAGAGAGAGAGAGAAAGAGAGAGAGACCAAAGACCACCCGCTTTTATCTCCTCTCTGTTTTCGCACGTACTTTCTTTTCCCCGGGTATATATTTAAGAGCGCGCTGTCGGTTTTTTGGGAAAAGAACTAAGTAGAATGTAACTAGTCGTGTATCTAGCGATATTCTACATTCCAAAACTACTTTCGCCATAAATCCCGAACTTCTGGGATTGGGTTCAGTATCCGGCTGCTGCGAAACTGCAAGGGCGCATTTTTATCACGATGAATAATGTATAACCCTGCGTGTAATAGAAACTACGGCCTTGTATAGAAATAATTAATTCCGATGTAAGCGCGACGAGGACGGCTCTCTCTCTCTCTCTCTCTCTCTCGACATAATACCGTCGGTTTTGCCTAAATAGATAACTTTAAAAAGAGGAGACATGCGCACAATAGTGTGCTGAAACGTTTATTTAATGTTATCACCGGATAATGGGAGAGCACGATTAAAAGAGTCTACCGATATCGATAACATAGGCGGAATAATCGCTACGAGATAAAGAGAGAAATGAGGGACAAGAGAAAGGTATATCATGATTATTAATCATTTAATATTTCTCGATGCAAATCAGAGCGCATTAAGCGCTCCTGGCTGTTCGCGAAATCGATGATGCGATAATAATGATGATGATGAGCATGTAAATATATACACATATGACGTGAAACGATAAGAAATCGCGATACGCGCGAGTCGGCGAAATTTCTCATGGAAATTTCTCTTGCAGAAGCAGAGGATGGCAAGAGAGGGCATTTGCCCTCTTTTAAAAAAATTAAATTTAAAGAAATTAAGTAAGAACAAAAATAAGAAAAAAAATGTTGAATCATGCTACCTCCTTGAAAAAATCCTGCAGACGCCCATGTCGAGACCCTTTGCAGAACTCTCATTAAAAAATTTATTTTTGCATATTTAATATAAAAAAATTAAGTAAGAACAAAAATAAGAAAAAAATTTTGAATTATGCTACCCTCTTGAAAAAATCCTGCGGACGCTCATGTCGAGACTTTTTGCAGAACTCTCATTAAAAAATTTATTTTTGCATATTTAATATAAAAAAATTAAATTTTAAAAATTAAGTAAGAACAAAAATAGGAAAAAAAATTTGAATTATGCTACCCCTTGAAAAAATCCTGCAGACGCCCATGTCGAGACCCTTTGCAGAACTCTCATTAAAACATTTATTTTTGCATATTTAATATAAAAAAATTAAATTTTAAAAATTAAGTAAGAACAAAAATAAGAAAAAAAATTTTGAATCATGCTACCCCCTTGAAAAAATCCTGCAGACGCCCATGTCGAGACCCTTTGCAGAACTCTCATTAAAAAATTATTTTTGCATATTTAATATAAAAAAATTAAGTAAGAACAAAATTTTTAATTATGCTAGAGAGGGCATTTGCCCCTTTGGAATCATTAAAAGAATTATTTTCGCATATTTAATATAAAAAAAATTTTGAATCATGCTACCCCCTTGAAAAAATCCTGCAGACGCCCATGTCGAGACCCTTTGCAGAACTCTCATTAAAAAAATTATTTTTACATATTTAATATAAAAAAATTAAGTAAGAACAAAAATAAGAACAAAATTTTTAATTGTGCTACCCCCTTGAAAAAATCCTGCGGACGTCCGCATGTCGAGACCCTTCGCGGAACTCTCTGCCGGTCGTTACAAAGCGACCGGCACTACGTTATCCGGACGGTGGTATTAATTTTGTCAGATGATCATTAATAATGCTCGCCGCAGTCGTCGCTCGTCCCCTCTTTCTCACCTTTCTCCCTTTCCTACCCCCTCGTTCAGAGAGCGAAACCGAGGACGGAAAAATGATGATAAAAAGCGGCGCGTAATATGCCTAGAAAACGGCGTCGTATTTTAACGCTTAAGCATAGTTAAGCGGATCTCGCCGAGAAGTCCGCAGTCTGGAACGTCAAAGCGAAGATTGGTCGGGACCACGTCTAATTAAGCATTTTAATTAATATAATATACTTCTAAGTTCCTCTCTTATAGGCTGGACTCTGTTCTGTTTCTTTCTGCAGACTTGCATTTAAAGCCCACTTTAGATTTTTAGATAATTATGTGATTAAAAATTTGATACAGAGATCTCTCTATTTGTGACCTCGTATTTCAT